AGTCCAGTGCCAGAACATTATTCAGGCTAAAGTGCCAGAACATTATTCAGGCTAAACGGGAGGATTTTAAAGTTAGACTGTCTTTATCTGTAGTGATAAAAGCAGTCTTTTCTGTCTTGTTCATCTATTACTTGCTGATACTCATATTCAAAGTCATCAAAGAACAGAGCTGAGTTCACTGGAGAAAGTCCAAAGCATCATTATTCTCAGAGGGGGATAAATATTTTTCTTCATATTACAGATAAGTTCTTATAGTCTACATATGGAATTTTCTGAGTTTTCTTCACCTGTCTAACACCTAGTCTCAGCCAGTTTACTTTTTTCCCCCATACCAGTTTGACAAATCCCTCATATGTTGTTTTGCCTTATCCTATCAATCCAAGTCTTAAAGTCTACAGCTACATTTTTCTTCTTCCCCAATACAACTAGAGATAACCAAAAACTAAGGGTTGAATAATTCTCTAGATCAGTGGTGTCCAACCCTTTGGCTTCCTTGAGTCATATCTGAAAATAAAAAATTGTATTGAGCTGCACATAAACTGTAAAACTACATGTAAAGGTGACACAAACAGATTTGCCATTCTAGGCCAAAACAAATGATTAAATAATTTATATAGCCAAAAATGTAGCCAACTTGAATTTTTGTAGCCCAAAAATTAGCCAATGTGCCAAATGATTTTTTTGCATGCGAAACTAAAAAAGAGTAATCCATTTTGGTGCAAAGTAGCCAAATATTTTCATTTGAGGTACAGTACATAATATGTGTATAATTTATGGTGGCAGTCATTAGTGCTTATGAACCTTGCTGCACTAGCACTACAGCAGCTAATTTGAAGTGGAAATAGCTCAACTATCTTTTAATATGGCAGTTTTAAGTGGCTTCACTAGGAAAAGCACTCAACGCATATTATTAAAGACTGTAAGTATATACTAATGACATATTGTGACAATTTTTTTAATAAAGATTATTACAACACCCAGCAAATTTCAAAATATTAAAAAATAAGTACATAAAAATCTCAATGTTTTAAGGAAGTTTAGCTACAATTTTATTTTGAACCACATTCATTATAGTGCTGGGCCGTATGCAGGCCGTAGGTTTGACAGTTCTGCTCTACACCAACTCTATTTGACTTTTTAGTTGATACTGTGCTATTTGACTAATAAAATTCAATAAGGGCTTCTGTTTGATTGGTAAGTTTTGTCTGGTTTTGATATGAAGTTTCACCTTGACAGCAGCTCTTCCTCACAAGACGACATCAGGAATAAATAAGATCTCATATTTTATAAATTAGTAGATCAATTGATTATTTATGTCAGAGTAGGATCAATTAATTACTAAAGTAAATATTGATTATCAGCCCATATCTCTTACAACACAGTTTTATATGAATCCTCATCAAACAGCATAACGACCATAACTCTTGCTTTCTCTCTTCTAAACAAATGCCAGAAAGATGTAACTTAACCTGAAATGACTATTAGTAATCAATACTGAGATAACCATCATTGGCTACTATACAAAATGTTAGAAATAGAAAAACCTTCTCAGCATCAGATGCAGTAACCTTCAACAATACCATTACCAAATAACATGGGTTATAAATAATTGGAACAGCATTGATCCTAAGGGCCGAAAATCAAGTATTGCTCAAGACAGACAGATATTACAACCGGTGATGGGACAGTGGATAAAACACCTCCAAATGGATGCATTGGACTCAACAGTCTATCAAGACATCTGTTCTCTGGAAAATAATGATTTAAAGTAAAAAATCTGAATTTTAAATAAATTTTAAATTTATTTAAAATTCAGATTTTCACTAATTGCCATAAGAATTAGCACACCAAAGAGTTGTCAGAATCAAACAAAATTGTACAAATGTGCATGTAATGGTAATATAAGTGATTACAAAATGAAAGCAAAAAGATCATTTATTGCAGGAAAGACTATAAGTGAAAGGAGGTTCTAGTACCCTGTTGGGCCACCTTTAGTGTGAATATACAATGTAATACAAGCAGGCACAGAGACATACAGGTGCTGTATGATGTCCTGCAGATCTTGATCCACAATGGCTGAAAGTGGGCCTCTAGTTTGGCAAAACTCCTAGGTTGTCCAATTTGATTCCCAGATAATCCCAGACATGTTTGATTGATAACAAATAGAGGACTGGGCAGGCCAGGGAAGTGTAGCAATGTGACAGGCACTCCTGTGATATCCTTGCTATGTATGGTTGAGCATTGTCCTATTGGAAAATGACACTTTGGAGCCCTTCCATGAGAAGCAACACGTGGCTGCAGGATGTCACTAACATACTGCAGGACTGTCATGGTCCCTTGGATCACTATAAGAGGTGTCATATATATGTGATAGCACTCCAGACCATCATACTAGCTATACGGGTGGTGTGCCATTCGCCACTAGCTTCACGGGTGGTGAATGTCTCAATCCTGCCCATGGGGATTGGGGAGGATTGGGACATTCACCATAGAGCCTCCAGACATGAATACAGCTGTTGTCAGTGAACAAACTGAATCTGGATTTGTTGCTGTAGATGATCTGGTTCTATTCTGTTGTGGTTCAATCCCATCAGGAGCAACACCATTCCAAACAGAGACAACAGTAGATGGATGTCAATGCTAGCACATGTAATGGCTGCCACAATAACAAATGTTCCATCCAGGCATCTTAAAACAGAATAGACAGACACTGGGGCCTGTAATAATGGCACAACCTGTGTCCAGATGGTTGATAATGATACAGTCGGCTGTGGGCATGCTTGTCAGGGGACCGGGTAGTTCTCTTGACTAGTGGTCTGCCCAGGGTGTCCTGAGCCTGGGCATAGTGTGTGCAAGCTCTCTCTTGTCCACTGGTCCCAACACCTCAATGTTGTCAGAACGGCCTAGGTGGCTGACTATTTGATGAGATGACCATCCAGTTTCTCTCAACCTGATGATCCTTCCCCTCTCAAACTCAGTTAGTTGTTCATATGGTTTTTGATTGTGACATAAAGTCATCTCTAGTGATACAGTGTCCCTCTGCAACAGGTAAAGTACTGATAAAACGCCTTTGTACACTTTTTTGTAGGCCAAGGGGGGACACTTTAGTGCCCTCTGCTGGCATTACACAATGAGCCATCAGGCTAGAACTCTAATCATTTCCATATCTGCTTGAGACTCATCTGCATGCCAAGTTTTGTAGTGATATGACAACTTGGTGCTCTAATTTTTATGGCAACAAAGTATATTTTTCAAATTTTGAAAATAATTTCAANTTGAGTATTTGCGGATCCGCAGCGCTGGATCCAGCACCTGATGCTGGATCCAGCAGGCTGAAAAATGCGCTGGATCCAGCTGGATTGCTGGATGAGGGATCCAGCAATTGCAATCCCTACTTACAACAAAATGAATTTACAACCAGACCTTTAATAAATTGAGGTATATCTGTATGAAAACTGATAAATTTTCAATTCAGTTATAGAAAAACAGTAACGTCTTTTCATATGTTTATGCTTTTGTAGAAATATTTGTGTTATCATCTCATTATTAACTTGGCAATTAATTTATTTAATAATAAATGAATTGCTATATACATCATTATCACTTGGTTAGCATTTTTTTTTTTTTTTGGGTCATTCAATATTTCTTTTAGCAGACTTTAAAATTAAATTAAATCTTTCCTAAAAAGCGTTTCTAGATATTTTAGAAAGAATAAACATTCCACACAAATTCTGATGAGTTTTATCTTCACATGTTGCTGCAGTACCTCCATGTAAGAACAGATTAATTAAACAGGATTAACTAAAACAATCATGAATATCAATTTGCAATCAATAATTGGATGGCAGCCTACCGCTCTGGGGGACCCAGGATCGAATCTGGACAGGTCAAGGAATCCCCATGAATTTTTCGGGGAGTGGTCTGTTCAGATATGTCGGGCCCCGTCCCTCACCACCCAGTTGCCCATTGTGGGCCTGGCTGAACACATAATGGGCCTGCGATAAGAGGCCCCCTTAGTGCCCACAGGGTGGAAAGAGTATAAAAAAAAAAAGAATATCAATAATTTCTTTATTCATGATTAACTTCCTATTTCTTATAAGCATTAGTATATTCCACAATAGAAATTTTCTGTTTTTTTTTTTCTTCTTTTGCAAAATAATATTTATAAGTGTGAAACAAACTTACAAAAAATTATTTTTTTAAAAGTTTATAAATTATTCACAAATACTATTTAGTGAAATTTAAATTAAACTAATGACGGAAAAACTTTCTCAAACTCAAACAAAAGAATAGCCTATGATTTATTTATTTATTCTTATTAAATTAAATAAAATAATAAAGCCATTAATTTAATCTTTCCATTAATAGAGACAGATGAAATGGTAATTGATAATAACAAATTTCGGCAGGATTTGGGAAGTTTTTGGAATTTCTTTGATCAAATAAAAAACAAATATGAAGGCATTATCTCATCAAAAAAGTTATAACAGAGAAAGCAATGTAAAAAATATTACCTACATAGTAGCCTGTAAAGTGTTACACTAGAATACTATATATATTATTAGACATAGTACTATGTACTGTACAATACTCTGTATCCATTAAATTTTGTCACTCCTTGAAATGACCAATTTTCCTAAGTTTTGGGAGTAGTTGTCGTAAAGAAGGTTTTCTGTATTTGAAAAATTCAGCAAAATGTAGTGTATAAATTCTGGGATCAAAATTTTTAATATTAAAACTAACATTTACAAATATACTTCTCTCATAACTTTAACATCTGCATTTTTTTTTTCTTTCTTAGACTCTTGGGATTAAAACTTTAGTTTGATTTCCAAGAAAGCAGAAATGTGTAGATATTAAACTAATTAGACTTTTAGCAAATGTCTTTTCTGGAACATCCAACATAATTTACAAATCCAGAATGAAACTTTATTTTTCTATGTAAAACAAAAATTAAAAATTTAATGCTTTCTTAACTAAAGCAAAAATTCTTATGATACCTAGATAATTGCATTTTTGGTACACCAGCATAGAAAAGAGTTGAACATGAACAAATGAACCATTTTTCAGACATTAGATTATAAAGTTCAAGAACAGAAGAAATATCATCTTTATGAATTCCTATAGCTACTCTCATAAACATCTGTTGTGGACTTTCTACAACTATGTAATAGAAAAATAAAATTAAAAATTTTTTAAATCAATAAAAATTTATCAAAAGTATTTACTTTTAATAAGAATAATAAAAAGAATTTTTAAATGCATTAAATTAATAAATAAAGATGCTACAAAATAAATTATGTTTAAAATAAATAAATAAACTTAAAAATTTGTCATTTTACAGTTAAAATAAATTTCTATTAATTGAATCTATACGATCAGTTGCAAAATGATACCACTACTGTTCTTTTGAGCATAATTTTATTAAGACAACACAACTAACTGCAAATATAATTTTTATAGAAACATTTACAAATGGTTTATATATTTCAAGTATTAACTGAAGTTATTTTTTTCTGTAGAATATAATAGAAAAACAACTATTTCAATGCAATATCCAGTAAATAAACAATATTTCAAAGCAATGTTAAATACATGATTATGCATGCTTTCCACAAGCTTCTGAAACAAAGAGATGTCAATTCCTTCCCAAGCAGAGATAATTGCTTTCTTCAGTTCTTCAATGTTATTATACTGTGACATATACATGCTCAAAGTTCTCCAGAGGTACTCCATAGAGTTTAAGTCTGGTGAAATGGCTGGTCATCCCATAAAATCCATTTTCCAAGACTACTCTCATGTAGACTTTGTAACATGTATGAATGCATTGTCTTGCTGAAATGTCCAGAATGATTCACTAATAACCTCCTCAAATGGCAAAAAGTTCTCTTCTAACAGATGTTGATAGTAACTTTCATTCAGATTCAGCTTGTTGGAAATGTGAGATTTGTTTTATCATTATAACCAAGCCATCCAGACTATTACTTATCATCCTTGCTGTCACTTGGAGAAGATTTGTTCCTTTTTTCTAAGATCATAACAATAAAATGCCAAGCCATCTAGGTCAGGCATGGCCAACATACGGCCCGCAGGCCAGATCCAGCCCGCAATCAATCTTTCAATATTAGGTCTGAAGTCTGAATAGCTCGATGAAAAATTCTGATGCCTAAAAGAAGAAAAGGTCAACAACTGTGCGTTTAGAGTTAACCCTCCATTACAAATCTCGTAAGTACAGCGTAGAGTGTTGATAAAGCATGATAATGTGAAAAATGTATCTGTAATCTCTATCTACAATTCAGTCTCTATGGGGTGACACAATGAGATCTTGCACCACCTCAAAATCTTTCTAGGGCAGCCTCAGGTTCGGCCCATGGAAAAAGTTTTCTTTCCAATTTGGCCCAGNCCTAGAATGGCAAATCTGTTTGTGTCACCTTTACATGTAGTTTTACAGTTTATGTGCAGCTCAATACAATTTTTTATTTTCAGATATGACTCAAGGAAGCCAAAGGGTTGGACACCACTGATCTAGAGAATTATTCAACCCTTAGTTTTTGGTTATCTCTAGTTGTATTGGGGAAGAAGAAAAATGTAGCTGTAGACTTTAAGACTTGGATTGATAGGATAAGGCAAAACAACATATGAGGGATTTGTCAAACTGGTATGGGGGAAAAAAGTAAACTGGCTGAGACTAGGTGTTAGACAGGTGAAGAAAACTCAGAAAATTCCATATGTAGACTATAAGAACTTATCTGTAATATGAAGAAAAATATTTATCCCCCTCTGAGAATAATGATGCTTTGGACTTTCTTCAGTGAACTCAGCTCTGTTCTTTGATGACTTTGAATATGAGTATCAGCAAGTAATAGATGAACAAGACAGAAAAGACTGCTTTTATCACTACAGATAAAGACAGTCTAACTTTAAAATCCTCCCGTTTAGCCTGAATAATGTTCTGGCACTTTAGCCTGAATAATGTTCTGGCACTGGACTGTATCTTAGGATGGCTGAAGTGGCTGTTTTCATTATCAAGATGATGATATTTTCACTTCAACATTTTAAAACATTTATTTTGCCTTCCCCACCATATTAGAATGTTTCCAATGAGCTAGATTACAACTAACCCAGCAAGTGTCATTTTTGAGGTTGAAAGTATCTATCTTATTGATGAAACAGGGATCTAACTTCATCCTGACAAATTAAAAATTATTACAGTTTCCTGTCTGTCTTTATTTATAATGAATTACTTAGTGTATGCTTGTATTATCATTGCTTCATTAAAGCTTTGTTGACAAAAAAAGCAACAGCTTCCATTGCGACCTGAAATAGATCTTCAGAAGATTGAGCCATATTGATATATGAACATTACAACCACAGCACACTGACCAAGCTACATATGACATTAATGCAAAAATTGTTAGAATTGAATGAACTATGAACTGTTTTATATTAATATAAAACTAACAATAAGAATAAAAATAAAAGTAAAAAGCAGTTGTGTACAACAAATTTTCAGCAAGTAAGTGTAGTATATTATCAAAATTATGGAATTTATAAAATGTATCATTCTTTAAAGAGATTTGGAAATACTGATATAAATTTTATATTTCAATCATTATCAGTCAATCCTTTATTCCTTTAAAAGATTAATACCTTGGAGAGAGGGAGAAAACATATATAAGTAGTTTATTTAACATACAGTATTATCATTTTTAAAAATATTTTGTAAAAATTATCTAATAAAACTAACATGTTGGTGAATGTAAGACAGTTATTACAATTAGTGTTAATAAAGTTTTTTTTAAACTCTAAGCATTTTTCACAGAAATTAAATGTTGTAGGAAGAACTTATGAATTTTGCTCAGTTGACAAACAGTTATTTTTATTAGCAAAACGCTTATATTTTTCCATACAAAAAAAAAATTGCTGTAGTCAAAATTATATGCAACATTTTTAATATTAAAACTGATTACTTGTATATAGTGTTGGGGATTCAAATCTCTAGCATCAATGGATACCATGAGTGAAACTTATCATCTGTAATTCTTTGCCTATCCTCTTGATAAATATTGTCTTAAAATTATTTATTTTATATTTAATATTTTAGGACATTATCTGTATCATGAAAAGATACAAAAAAAACTGTATTTCAGTTTTTATATTTCATTGTATGGAATAAAATTTTAACCATTTTAACATATTTAATCATTACTTAATTACTGAAATTATTTATTAAATCAATAATTATACTAATTTTTATTTTATTTATCTTATGATTTTAATTATATTTCTCTACAGATAGAATTAATTTTCAAATAAGAAAATTTATATTGTATATATTGAAATTAAATATTATTTCATTTTATTCATTACATAGTTATTTTTGTTTAGTTCTGTTATTTAAAATGAGTTGCAAAATGATACAACCATATGTTTTTTGAATTTACTTTTATGAAAAAACATAACTAAGTACAAGTTTAATTTTCATAGCAACAATAACAAATAGTTTTTATATTTGACATAACAGGTGACTATTATCTCTTTTTTGCAAATTTGTGCAAGGAAAAAGAAATAAACAATAACTAAGAAGTCAGTTGTAAAATGATAAGACCACATTTGTTTGTAAAAGTTCTTCATTTGAATTGTACTGAGTTAATATATAAATTAGGTAACAAGATATCTTCATGAAATTTTCCAGAATAAAATGAATTAAGCAAGTTCTTGATGTGTAAATATAGCTTAATTAACATGTGTTGGAAAGCAGCACTTCCAGGTTTGAGAAAGGAAAATTATGGCTTTTAAAAAGAAAGGATTATCATGTAGAAAAATAGTAAGAAGAATTGGTTGTACTCCATATGTGGTAAACAACTTTTGAAACTTGGAAGCTATATGGGATAAAGAAGTCCTCTGTTAGACCAAGAAAGCTTACACCTAGGCAAGAGGGAAAAGTTATCAGGAAACTGAATTCTGGTGGAACATCCCTTGCACAGCTGTCTTATGATCCAAATATTAATGTTTACACATCTACCTTTTCAAGAGTTATCAACTGTAGAAAAATCCTAAAGTATAAAAATAAAAAAAGAACAGCCTCAACTTAAAAACAACAAAGAAACAGAAAAATGACATGGGAAAAGAATACATATCTTGGAAGAATGTATGAATGAGAGTCATGAGAAGAAAAATAACCTAGATCAGTTTTCTTTCCAACCTAGAAAAGTTTTCTTTCCAATTTGGCCCAGGGGCAAAAACCAGTTTTTGCCCCTGGGCCAAATTGGAAAGAAAACTTTTCTAGGTTGGAAAGAAAACTGATCTAGGTTATTTTTCTTCTCATGACTCTCATTCATACATTCTTCCAAGATATGTATTCTTTTCCCATGTCATTTTTCTGTTTCTTTGTTGTTTTTAAGTTGAGGCTGTTCTTTTTTTATTTTTATACTTTAGGATTTTTCTACAGTTGATAACTCTTGAAAAGGTAGATGTGTAAACATTAATATTTGGATCATAAGACAGCTGTGCAAGGGATGTTCCACCAGAATTCAGTTTCCTGATAACTTTTCCCTCTTGCCTAGGTGTAAGCTTTCTTGGTCTAACAGAGGACTTCTTTATCCCATATAGCTTCCAAGTTTCAAAAGTTGTTTACCACATATGGAGTACAACCAATTCTTCTTACTATTTTTCTACATGATAATCCTTTCTTTTTAAAAGCCATAATTTTCCTTTCTCAAACCTGGAAGTGCTGCTTTCCAACACATGTTAATTAAGCTATATTTACACATCAAGAACTTGCTTAATTCATTTTATTCTGGAAAATTTCATGAAGATATCTTGTTACCTAATTTATATATTAACTCAGTACAATTCAAATGAAGAACTTTTACAAACAAATGTGGTCTTATCATTTTACAACTGACTTCTTAGTTATTGTTTATTTCTTTTTCCTTGCACAAATTTGCAAAAAAGAGATAATAGTCACCTGTTATGTCAAATATAAAAACTATTTGTTATTGTTGCTATGAAAATTAAACTTGTACTTAGTTATGTTTTTTCATAAAAGTAAATTCAAAAAACATATGGTTGTATCATTTTGCAACTCATTTTAAATAACAGAACTAAACAAAAATAACTATGTAATGAATAAAATGAAATAATATTTAATTTCAATATATACAATATAAATTTTCTTATTTGAAAATTAATTCTATCTGTAGAGAAATATAATTAAAATCATAAGATAAATAAAATAAAAATTAGTATAATTATTGATTTAATAAATAATTTCAGTAATTAAGTAATGATTAAATATGTTAAAATGGTTAAAATTTTATTCCATACAATGAAATATAAAAACTGAAATACAGTTTTTTTTGTATCTTTTCATGATACAGATAATGTCCTAAAATATTAAATATAAAATAAATAATTTTAAGACAATATTTATCAAGAGGATAGGCAAAGAATTACAGATGATAAGTTTCACTCATGGTATCCATTGATGCTAGAGATTTGAATCCCCAACACTATATACAAGTAATCAGTTTTAATATTAAAAATGTTGCATATAATTTTGACTACAGCAATTTTTTTTTTGTATGGAAAAATATAAGCGTTTTGCTAATAAAAATAACTGTTTGTCAACTGAGCAAAATTCATAAGTTCTTCCTACAACATTTAATTTCTGTGAAAAATGCTTAGAGTTTAAAAAAAACTTTATTAACACTAATTGTAATAACTGTCTTACATTCACCAACATGTTAGTTTTATTAGATAATTTTTACAAAATATTTTTAAAAATGATAATACTGTATGTTAAATAAACTACTTATATATGTTTTCTCCCTCTCTCCAAGGTATTAATCTTTTAAAGGAATAAAGGATTGACTGATAATGATTGAAATATAAAATTTATATCAGTATTTCCAAATCTCTTTAAAGAATGATACATTTTATAAATTCCATAATTTTGATAATATACTACACTTACTTGCTGAAAATTTGTTGTACACAACTGCTTTTTACTTTTATTTTTATTCTTATTGTTAGTTTTATATTAATATAAAACAGTTCATAGTTCATTCAATTCTAACAATTTTTGCATTAATGTCATATGTAGCTTGGTCAGTGTGCTGTGGTTGTAATGTTCATATATCAATATGGCTCAATCTTCTGAAGATCTATTTCAGGTCGCAATGGAAGCTGTTGCTTTTTTTGTCAACAAAGCTTTAATGAAGCAATGATAATACAAGCATACACTAAGTAATTCATTATAAATAAAGACAGACAGGAAACTGTAATAATTTTTAATTTGTCAGGATGAAGTTAGATCCCTGTTTCATCAATAAGATAGATACTTTCAACCTCAAAAATGACACTTGCTGGGTTAGTTGTAATCTAGCTCATTGGAAACATTCTAATATGGTGGGGAAGGCAAAATAAATGTTTTAAAATGTTGAAGTGAAAATATCATCATCTTGATAATGAAAACAGCCACTTCAGCCATCCTAAGATACAGTCCAGTGCCAGAACATTATTCAGGCTAAAGTGCCAGAACATTATTCAGGCTAAACGGGAGGATTTTAAAGTTAGACTGTCTTTATCTGTAGTGATAAAAGCAGTCTTTTCTGTCTTGTTCATCTATTACTTGCTGATACTCATATTCAAAGTCATCAAAGAACAGAGCTGAGTTCACTGGAGAAAGTCCAAAGCATCATTATTCTCAGAGGGGGATAAATATTTTTCTTCATATTACAGATAAGTTCTTATAGTCTACATATGGAATTTTCTGAGTTTTCTTCACCTGTCTAACACCTAGTCTCAGCCAGTTTACTTTTTTCCCCCATACCAGTTTGACAAATCCCTCATATGTTGTTTTGCCTTATCCTATCAATCCAAGTCTTAAAGTCTACAGCTACATTTTTCTTCTTCCCCAATACAACTAGAGATAACCAAAAACTAAGGGTTGAATAATTCTCTAGATCAGTGGTGTCCAACCCTTTGGCTTCCTTGAGTCATATCTGAAAATAAAAAATTGTATTGAGCTGCACATAAACTGTAAAACTACATGTAAAGGTGACACAAACAGATTTGCCATTCTAGGCCAAAACAAATGATTAAATAATTTATGTAGCCAAAAATGTAGCCAACTTGAATTTTTGTAGCCCAAAAATTTTGTCTGGTTTTGATATGAAGTTTCACCTTGACAGCAGCTCTTCCTCACAAGACGACATCAGGAATAAATAAGATCTCATATTTTATAAATTAGTAGATCAATTGATTATTTATGTCAGAGTAGGATCAATTAATTACTAAAGTAAATATTGATTATCAGCCCATATCTCTTACAACACAGTTTTATATGAATCCTCATCAAACAGCATAACGACCATAACTCTTGCTTTCTCTCTTCTAAACAAATGCCAGAAAGATGTAACTTAACCTGAAATGACTATTAGTAATCAATACTGAGATAACCATCATTGGCTACTATACAAAATGTTAGAAATAGAAAAACCTTCTCAGCATCAGATGCAGTAACCTTCAACAATACCATTACCAAATAACATGGGTTATAAATAATTGGAACAGCATTGATCCTAAGGGCCGAAAATCAAGTATTGCTCAAGACAGACAGATATTACAACCGGTGATGGGACAGTGGATAAAACACCTCCAAATGGATGCATTGGACTCAACAGTCTATCAAGACATCTGTTCTCTGGAAAATAATGATTTAAAGTAAAAAATCTGAATTTTAAATAAATTTTAAATTTATTTAAAATTCAGATTTTCACTAATTGCCATAAGAATTAGCACACCAAAGAGTTGTCAGAATCAAACAAAATTGTACAAATGTGCATGTAATGGTAATATAAGTGATTACAAAATGAAAGCAAAAAGATCATTTATTGCAGGAAAGACTATAAGTGAAAGGAGGTTCTAGTACCCTGTTGGGCCACCTTTAGTGTGAATATACAATGTAATACAAGCAGGCACAGAGACATACAGGTGCTGTATGATGTCCTGCAGATCTTGATCCACAATGGCTGAAAGTGGGCCTCTAGTTTGGCAAAACTCCTAGGTTGTCCAATTTGATTCCCAGATAATCCCAGACATGTTTGATTGATAACAAATAGGGGACTGGGCAGGCCAGGGAAGTGTAGCAATGTGACAGGCACTCCTGTGATATCCTTGCTATGTATGGTTGAGCATTGTCCTATTGGAAAATGACATTTTGGAGCCCTTCCATGAGAAGCAACACGTGGCTGCAGGATGTCACTAACATACTGCAGGACTGTCATGGTCCCTTGGATCACTATAAGAGGTGTCATATATATGTGATAGCACTCCAGACCATCATACTAGCTATACGGGTGGTGTGCCATTCGCCACTAGCTTCACGGGTGGTGAATGTCTCAATCCTGCCCATGGGGATTGGGGAGGATTGGGACATTCACCATAGAGCCTCCAGACATGAATACAGCTGTTGTCAGTGAACAAACTGAATCTGGATTTGTTGCTGTAGATGATCTGGTTCTATTCTGTTGTGGTTCAATCCCATCAGGAACAACACCATTCCAAACAGAGACAACAGTAGATGGATGTCAATGCTAGCACATGTAATGGCTGCCACAATAACAAATGTTCCATCCAGGCATCTTAAAACAGAATAGACAGACACTGGGGCCTGTAATAATGGCACAACCTGTGTCCAGATGGTTGATAATGATACAGTCGGCTGTGGGCATGCTTGTCAGGGGACCGGGTAGTTCTCTTGACTAGTGGTCTGCCCAGGGTGTCCTGAGCCTGGGCATAGTGTGTGCAAGCTCTCTCTTGTCCACTGGTCCCAACACCTCAATGTTGTCAGAACGGCCTAGGTGGCTGACTATTTGATGAGATGACCATCCAGTTTCTCTCAACCTGATGATCCTTCCCCTCTCAAACTCAGTTAGTTGTTCATATGGTTTTTGATTGTGACATAAAGTCATCTCTAGTGATACAGTGTCCCTCTGCAACAGGTAAAGTACTGATAAAACGCCTTTGTACACTTTTTTGTAGGCCAAGGGGGGACACTTTAGTGCCCTCTGCTGGCATTACACAATGAGCCATCAGGCTAGAACTCTAATCATTTCCATATCTGCTTGAGACTCATCTGCATGCCAAGTTTTGTAGTGATATGACAACTTGGTGCTCTAATTTTTATGGCAACAAAGTATATTTTTCAAATTTTGAAAATAATTTCAAAAATCTTTATTTCTTTCACAAGTAAATTTTGTAAAGTTAAGAAAAAAAAGATAAACAGCATTTATGAAAATGTTTAAAGGTTTTATTCAGTATGCATGTGATTCAAAATTCTAATGGCTGTGACATTGAATTAATTGGCAAGTCATATTCTCATCATCCAATTGAATATTTAACAGATTCTGGTAAGTTGCAAAATAAACTAAAAGTAAAAAAAAATTACAATAAGTTTAAAAATTAAGTAATTATTAATTTCATTAAAAAAAGGAATCAAAATTTTTGATGAAATTGTGATTCAGCTTAATACAATTTTATATTTATGAAAATAATTTCAAAATATAATTTTATATTTTAATTTTTCAGGTAATTTTTAAAAATCTGTATGAATGGTGTTTACTTACCTTTCCCATTTATTCTGAGCAAAAAAGACTTTTCTAATGCCTGTTTGTAAATAAATTGAAAATGCATAAGCATAATATAATTTTGTAAAAAAAGTTTAAATATTTAAAAATTAAATAAAAAAATTTTTTAAATTTTGTAGTTATCTCTGTCTTTTGTAATTTTGTAGCATTATAAAAGCATTAATTATTATAAAATAATTAATGCTTTTTATTTGTAATTTAGTAAATGAGAATTATAATAAAAATTTAAAAATTACATGTTTATTAGACAAATTCATTCAAGTGTTAATTAAAAGAGCAATAAATTAAAAGTATGTTACAACTTTTTTTATTTTAAAAGAAAAGAATCATAAATCATGTACAGTAAACTCCCGATTATCCATGTGCAGATTATCTATGCATGAATTTAATTTTCAAAAAAATAATTGTGTGTGTATGTATTTTTTAAATAGTTGCTTGCTTTCCTGTTTACGCATCCTATAAGTGTGCATATTTAGATGTTTGAAGTGGATGGTGGGATATCTGAAGTCAGCTGGACTGATTTTAGTTAAGCCACTTCTTTCGCACCAGACATTTCTTTTTGGAGGAGAAAATGATAATGAGTACATTTATACAGTTTTGTTTAGTTGCATGTCATAATACGTATCACAATTTAAGATTTGATTATATGTACGTGTGTATAATACATATTATACATAATAGTTTTTTCAAATAAATAATTATAGTTCGGGTTATCCATGTTTTTTGATTATCTGTGCCACCTCTCCCCACCATTAGCCCAAATAATTGGGAGTTTACTGTAATAGTAAAATGATCCCTCATGATAAAAAAAACTAAACTTTCATTTAACTTAATTGCATTAAACCAGTTGTGCTAAGCAGTAATAATCTTTTCTCAATAAGATATATTCAAACAAATTTATTTCTGATTTTAATATTATTTTCTAACAATTTTTTATGATATCTGATGATAAAAATTCCTTGTAAAACTACAAGGAATTTTTATTATCAGATATTTTATCAAATTCTCTCTTGAATATATGTATATGAATTCTCTATTTAACTTAACAAAATAATCCTAATCTTTTTAAATGCCATAAAAGTAATGATAAGGAAATTTAGAAACCTATATTCCAACATTAACAAGGAAAATTTCTATATTTTGTTTCGTAATTTTTATTTATTTTAATAAAAATACTCTAACTGTATTTGTTCAAATATGTTAAGTATTCAGTAATCTAAGCATATATAATTCCCTAAGCTTAATACTTATAAAAAATAAGACCATAAGATTGTATAATTAATTTCTATCACCATCAATATAAAAACTCATATTTAAATGTTAAATTAACTTGCTATTTATGTAGGGATAGTTATTGAGATAGAAAACTAGAAATGACAATAATCTTCCAGTGTTTGTAACCATTTTGATAGAACAATAATGTTCCCGCCTTCGTAATGTCTTTTTCATCTTTTCTTCCCTTTGCACCGTCACCAACTGTCATCTTTTTCACCTCTCCCCTTACTTGTCTCTCTCCCTCATTCTCCTCGCCTCCCCCCACAACCCCTCATAAATTTATTGTCTTAACAGTTTAGGAATGTTACTCGTCTAAACCCCACATTTATACAATATTAAAATCTAGGAAATTAACTTAAATATTCTGGATTAATATAATTAAAATGTTTTATAATTTATTTTTAAAGAATTTATCCATTTACACAAAAATTCAAATATACCAAATTGTTCTAGAAGATATTTGTAATTTCTTTAACTAAATCAACAAAACAGTTCATTAGCTTTCTCAGTTAATAGTTTCATCATAACTATGGTTTCTCTAACGAGATCCCATAATCCTGGCTGGTTTTAACCTGGAAAATTCTTCTCATCCTGGGAAATCCCTCAAATTTCTTAAAAGTTCACCTTTTTCTTATTTTGTGTTAAGGTTGAAAAGATTTTCAAATAGAAAATATAATTAATTCATAAACTGTCAGAATACGTTTGTATTTATTCATTTTAAGCCTGTTTATTAGTTTTTAAATTTTTGCTTGTTATGGCATGTCACAGGTTGTTAATAAGCAATATGTAGCAGGAATCTGAAAACTTTTTACTTGTCAAAACCTGCAATATCTTGAATAATTGTGCTGATGCTGTCTTAATTTTTTTTAACCATGCCCAGTAGCTTCAATAACTGCATTATGCCAGATTGTGCAAATTGGACAAGGATACAAATAAGTATGAAGTTTTACTTCGTAAACCTGATTATTAAAGCTAAACGAACTGCCAAATTGTCTGGATATAAGCTTGATGCTATATCCAGCTATTAAAGCAGCTGAGGTAGACAAATCAAGAATACTATACAGCAAAAGAAGTACTGCAATGCATCTCAAAAATGAACTAGAAATCTTCAAGGCTACAGGTGAAAAAACACATAACATCTGTCTTCTCTTAAATGCATTAAAGATGATTCCACCCACATCAATTGAATCAGAAAGGGCATTCTCAGTAGCAGGACTTTACATTACTAAAATAAGAACCAGATTGAGTGATCGGAGTATTGACCATCTTTGCTTTATAAATCTTATTAAAAAATTTACAATTAAATTTTGTATTATGTTTTATTTAAAAAACAAAAATTACCTTCTAAGTTAGAAGTTTGATCTAAGCTCATTTTTTTTCTTTAAATTTTCAACTCAATTCAAAGACAATCAATTCAAATTTGTTGTAAGCAGTTTCCAACAAACTTTAATAAATGTTTCTATTTGTGAAAATTTCTACATAATTCAAAGGTAATTTTTAATACATATTTTATACAGAATTATTATTATTATTTTGGAGGTTGCAGGAAGTATTAAATTACTTAAAAACTGAAAAATAATTATATTATTCAATTTCAAGATTTATTTTATATCTTAAAAATAATTAATTATATCCTGGCAACTATATCCAGGAAACAGATCCCTGTTTTCTCGAAATCCTAAGACAAGCAAAGGCCCGGGAAATGAGAAACCCTAATCATAACCATAGAAATATTTAAAACCTAACTCCTCAATATAAATCAAATTAAGCATTTGTTTCAAGTTTGTTATCATTGGTATAACAAACATTTTTAAACATTGGTGTAACAATTCCATTTACATCTGTTATAGCTTTTTATATATTATCATTGTATATTTCAATTAATTATCTATAATCATCCATAAATATTGCCTCCAAAGTAAGAATTTAAATTTAAATAAAGATATGCATCACATGGCTGATTAAACACATCACTCAGTTCTCTTTTTTAACAATGATAAATAGTGTTTGAATAGACTTACATAGCTAAAACATTTTATAATTTTATTGTCCTTATTTTATCTCATTAATAGCTGAGATACCCATCTTCACTCAGGAAAATGATATATTAAGGAAAGTTAACATACTTAAAATTTTAAGTCTCTAGGAACTCACTGACACACAGAAAAATAGCAATAGTCAAATTGGTCATATATTCAATACTGAATATGTGTTGTTCGAATATCAGGCTGACCAATTAAATTTCATTTGACCAACTTTCACTGATGTATATTTTCTCTCATTAATTAATGACCATAGCCTGTTGCATTTAAATTTCATGATTCATTTGACATCCATTGACTTTGAGACAAAACTTCCTTTTCATGTGAAAGACCTGATAAGAGCTAGGTGTCAACTACTTACTCTTGCTAATGATATCATACTTCTATCAAAGCTTATAAAATTGATCCTTGTTCTTGTCAACATAGAGAGATCCAAGAGTAAAACAATCAATGCTAATTGTTTTTTGTGTTTTGTTCATTTTTTGCACCCATTTTCTGTTAAGCATATACAATGTTTTTGTTTTTATGTTTGCCTCTATATTCCATTACACATGGTCAATTGTGTCAGGAAGCATGGACATTGTATCTTTGACCCCATTGTATCTCAAAAATGAAGTCATGGTGCTATTTTTTTTATTATTGATACATATTTGGATTCCTTATTGAAATCAATGGAAAATGGCAAAGTTTTATCAAAATTGGTTCATCAAATAAACTCAATTCTTCTAGAATATGAATTAATAAAATTTATAGAAATCAAAAAAATTACCTTAAATCCAAAATAACTATAGTTATAATCTCTTTCATATTGGATAGTTAAATTCAATTTCTGAAATTGGAACAAAATAAGAGAATTAAAAAAAAAATTATTTTAGAAGCTTATATTACAATTTTTTAAATTAAAGCTGTACTATAATAAATTAATATAAAGTATATATAGTGGGTGATCGGTTAACGAACAGATCAGATAACGAACACTTTCGTGAAAGATTTTTATGATTGGACAACGAACACATGATCGGATAACGAACACTTCACTGAACAAACATAAAAAGAAGCGACGGAAATAGCAAATAGCGATTGATTTTCCTTTGTCTTCAGGTAACTTTTTGGAGCGCGGGAAATGTCAACGTTGACGCTCAACCCGATATATACTGATCAGATAGTATTCCTTGAACTTTGAAATACTCCCTTATAATTCCACCCTTATATTTTTCTGACAAACAATTCTTTTATAGCATTCGCAAGACTGTCGGGTGAGCACTCTAAGTTTTGCATCGAGTTATTTTCGAAAGGTAGAATACCAAAGTAGAGAGTGGGCAGATGATGTCTGATGTTGCTGGGCAGTATGTCTTGAACAAATCTACAATAGGCCACAGTTCAATCTTATCTAAGAAAGATACAGTATAATTAAGAAAACTCAAGCAGCTAAAAGAGTAACAAATATCACATCTGAGAAATAAAGAACATTGAAGAGCTCATTATGGAACAAATCTGATGACAGAAGAACGCCAAGAACTCTTGAATGAAGAACACCAAGAAACTCAGCGAGATATGTTTTATTATGAAAAAGAGGATTAATGCCAATATCTGCCTTTAATTAAAGATCTTTTGAAGAAGTGGGGATGTCAGATCAATGGTCTTACAATGACATACAAACCAGGTTGAGGTTAATAAGCTTGGGAATCTCTACAATTACAATGTTATTAATTCTGAAAATCCTGAAGAAGAGAGAAAAGCAATCAACATTAGACAGATTATTTAACCCCCACAAACAAAAAAACATGACTAATAAAAATGCAAGTCTGTGTATATATATATTTTTATTATTACATATAAATAAACATAATAAGAAAGTATATATTTTTTAATATTTGGGGTCTCCAGAACAAATTAATCAAAATCCCATACAAACTGATGGTAAATTGATAATCAGTTAACGAACAATTCGGATAGCGAACAAAGTTTTGGAATGGATTATGTTCGTTAACCAATCACACACTGTATTATAATATTTTGCATTATACATATTACTATAATTTAACTCTACAATTTAAGTTTAAAAATTCTAATAAAGTATAACAAGCTATTTACTCTACAAAGTGATTCAACTTTCCATACATAAAGCAAATGATCTTGTTTACTCACAAAACTTGCTCTATATGTAATGGCATAACCATAAACTTCAAATAGGATAACAAAAATTTTTGCCAGTTTTTAATTTAAAAATTTAGAATGAAAATGATTACTTTTTACAATGTTATATAAAAAGTAAGAAAATGTGTGATTTTTTTTCAGTTTTTTAAATTTGTCAATTTTTAGACTTTTTTGAAATTCTCTTGAAAAAGCTCTTTGCCCCTACCTTGATTGCATCACTGTTTATATAAGTACACATACTGATACATCTCTTTCATTTATGACAAACTTTCATTAATATATGTTGTGTTTGTGCATGTAAAGCAAGGAACATAGAAACATTTTTAATGTTATGCAAAATTAAGCAATGAAAAATATTTAAATATTGCATTTATGATTGACAAATCAAATAAAGTTTCATCTGTTTTTAAATTCTTATCATTCATTCTCTGCACTACGAATATTTTAAAATTTCAATTACATTTAGATTCACTAGAAAGTTGTTCAACACATCACTTTTAAATGAAGCTTCAAACTTTATAAAATCCTTCTTTATAGACTTGTTCATCACAATAAATGTGTAATTTATAAGAGTACTTTCCAACACAGCTTCATTATTTTTCATGTTTATTTACTATTTGAAACAATTATTGGGTAAAAAACTGCAAATGCAACAGAAATATAAATATTTTTTTGTATTAAATTTGCTTACAATTAAATAATAAAATTATGTATGCATATTCTTTTTTCAAAAATTATATATTTTCTTAAAGGAAAGTTTACTTTTATTAATAACAACAGTAGAAATTTATAAAATAAAATCTTTTAATTTATTTTTGTGGTTTTAAAAATAGTTAGGATATAATAATTATTCTACATCCTAATATTCTTTCTCTTAATAATAAATTAGACAGGTCTTTTGCAAAATAAACCAGTATAATGAGCCATTCCATTGTTTTACTTTGATACATCATAAAAGGTTACTAACCCCACTTTAGAGATCTGTTTGATATCTTCACCTGGTATACCATAACCTTTAAATGCCCTCAAAAGTAAAAATCAAATAAATCAAAGAAATAATTTTATTTTTTCTATAAGGACTAAGGACCTTAAAGAAAAAATAAACTTATTCTCTATACGTAGAAACTTTTCAATCATTCTGTATTAAGTGATTTATTTTTCATTAGGCTGAAATTTAAAAAATTGTATATCTATAAATTCCCACTGTCATCCGTCCATCCATCTGTCTTTCCTTAATCTCAAGAAGAGAGTGATGAAAGACGAGACCAGATACATAAACCTTAGAAGCAGGAGGCCCTGATTAACTATGTATGAACTTCCAATGCAAACTTCAAGTCCATTCTTTCAATTCAAAGCTTTCCCTTAAAAGCAGTTAATAGATGACTGGCACAACTCTATTGTTAAAAGAAAAATATGGTGTATAGGACAAGCCACTATAGTACTAATTTGAGATGGAGAGCATATATTTTAAATTAAATAAATTAAAAATATGATAAAAAATTGCAGCCCGGCATTGTGATGATGTCACAATAAATAATTGCTCATTCTTGATATAAAATTTAGTTTTTTGTTATGTTTACTATACAAAACAATTTTTAAACACTGACATTAAAAAGTTTTGATTTATATCATCATCACTGCATTTTAATTTAGAATATTAACTTTTACAAATAAAAAAAAAAATCTTGTTGTGAAAGTTAATATTCTTAATTAAAATGCATTGAAGAGGATATAAAAATTTTAACTTTTCTAATAAATAAAAAAAATCTAATTAGTATTTTTCAAGACTACTAATTATATGTGAAGTATTATTGCATTCAAATATTTTTACATTATACTATGAATATATGATCCAAAATGAGAAATATGCATATTATAAAGGATTGTATGCTTATGTTACAACATAATACACAGTACATCTGATTAAAGATAATAATAATTTCAAAATAATACATTTTCTCAAACTCATATAATTTACACTCCTCAAAAGTGAAATTACAACATCATGAAAGAATGTGATGTGCATAGCCACATGAATACTGCAGGACTGGTATGCAAATGGTTAAAAGAACAAAGATATGCAACAGAAACAGCAGTTTATTCAGTAACATATATGACTTGCATGGAAAACTATACAGGCCACTGTATGGCAAAGCATACTAGCAATGACGCGAATTAATGGTTGCCTGAGGTAACCTTGCGAAGCTGCATCCACTGCAATAAGCATATCATATACGGTATGTGGTAGTAGTCCCTGATACTGTACATCTCATGTAGGACAAAGCCCCACAGGTGTTTCATGGGAGAGAGATCCAGTAAGGCTGCCAGCCATGAAAGAATGTGAATTCTATTCAGGCTGGTAAGAGTTTGCCATGTGATGTGCAGCTGGGCATTGTCTTGCTGGAACACCGTATCAGATGCAGTCTGTACCACCTATAAGCTCCACAATTCATGTGATGTCAGGAAGTCTAGGTTCATCTGCATGTGGGTGGTGGTAGTGGAGACAGAAATAACAAGTGTTTTACAAAGGAAATCATTTATTATGGCAGAAGTATGCTTACATATTTGAAATGATTTATAATGGTCTCAGTGGATTGAGGTGTCTCTTGTTGCTACTGCAGAATGTGCACAGTCCCGGGGCAGACAAGAAGAGTTTGTTGGATTATGGCATTGACAGGCAGGTGATGGAGGTGTGGTCCAGCAGAAGATGCACACAGAACAATTTCAATGATGCACAATTTAAAGTTTGTAATCTGGAGAGTGACACTCTCTTCAACCTTGAATTGCCGATTTTTATAGTTTTTCTCCCACCATCCATATTTCTGATTAGCCCATGTCCCATTCCTTGCTTCCTGATTGGTCTCCTTTGTCTCCAAGTGAAAACCGAGACCTGTTCAGGTTGCAAGAAAGGTCCATTTTGAAGCGTCTATCTGACACCTTTTTGTCGACTCTGATTAGAGATTGTTGATAGAACTGTAAGCTGTGCACTGATAATTTAGCCCATTGTTTTCATTTTTAGTTAATTCAGAAATTTAATGATCACATGTAATGTTTCTTTAACCATTAAATCTTTCCCCTTTTCCAAATTTTTAACTTAGATCAACTGTTTATGAGTGCTCATGTCAGAGTTCCATCTTCCTGGGCTGACATTCCTTCTGACCCATTACATCATTCATCTTTGCAACATGTTCATTTTCACAACTACAGTTTTTTCTCTCCTCTCTTTCTTACATAACTTAGATGACCTTTGGTCTGACTTGTCTATAGAATTTTTTCTTTTAACAACTTGAAATTAAATTTTGATTTCAACCCATTCTGGAACCTCACATTCTTAATTGTAGCATAATATTGCCCGATTAATTTGGCTGATATATATATATATATAAAGTAAACAATGTTTCTCATAAAATCATTAAATAAAATAATAAAAACTATAATAATAAATTAAATCATCATTTTTGAATAGGTAAAGAAATATTGAAAATAATATCAAATCTTACTTCTGCATATTTCATTACTATTTGATAAACTTCTTCTGATATTAATGGTGTTTTGCATTTGGAATGGGAATCAACTGCATTAAATAAATCAGTGATAACATCTGTAAAATATTTAAGATATAATTTAAACTGTCAAGATTTATTTTATCATCAAATTTCAAAATTATTATTTCAGCAACCTAGTCAAAGTCAAGTTTCAGAAAAAAACAGCACTATTAGGTTGCTGAAATAATAACTTAATACAATTCCAAACAAGAAGCCAAATGAAAAAGTCAAATTTCCAGTTAATTCTCATATTTATTATAAGATTATAATAAAGTTCTGTTAGTTTGCAATGCTCTCCTCTGTTGCATTTTATAATTATTCTTCTAAATAATTAATATTAGTTTTAAAACTGTTACTTAAAATGTATGAAGTGATATTAAATAAATTTACATTTTTACCTAACCACCCATCCTCCATTGAAGTGTGTTGTCTTTTTGTTCTCCTTTTATCAATATGTCCTTCCAAGTACAATTTTATTTGTTTGTTTTTACTTTATTATCTCTGAAGTATTATCAGCAGATGACATTACAATATTTTTTTTATCCTAAAGCAATAATTTTGTCTTTATCACTCAATAGAGTAAGAGAAAAACTATTGCAGAACTATTACCACAGCACTATTACAAAAGACCAGATATAATTTAGTGATGGATGAGCAATATGTGAGCAATTTTACCTAGTCAGATGATTTATTACCAAATTTGATGATATTCCAAGCCAGTTGATAATTTGGCAATGATTTTTTTCCAATCTAGCAAGTTTTCTATGATATTATAAATTTATTCACGGTATGTCTGAAATTTTCCTAAACAAAGCTGGAATTAGGTGTAGGAAAACTAGACAATTATAATTGCCTAGGGCCTGATCTGAAAGGAGCCCATAAATTAACTTATAAACTTTTATTTCTTTATATTTAGATTTAAATAGTTAGTGAACAAAGTGAAAATTTTTTAAACCAACAAGCTTTCAGGCTTTCATTTATTACCAGCATCTGAAGAGTATGGATATAAGCAAATATCAGATCAATTGGAAAATTACTGGTATCAAATTACATTAGCAAAATTCAATATTATGTCATTTCTAGCTATTACACATTCACAGCCGATTGCAGAGACAACGTTTAGAGACCAACGGCGGTTTACAGATCGGGTAGACCACTGTTCAGAAAAATTTCATTGCAGAGATGGCATTTCTCGCCTGCCACAATGTAGACAGTGATTAGAAACAAGTTATTTGACCTATTTTCTAGACTCATTCGACAGCAGGTTTAGAGGGCTTTTCAATTCGAGTAGTAGCTTTGTTTGTGGAAAAGTTTAGATAAAAACAGATATCGTTCCTTTGATAAATGTTGTAAACGGTACAAATCGACAAAATTATTCATTAATTAATTGCTTGGAGCAAAAACAACAAAATTAAATACTTTAAATTTGTTTTAAATGTTCCAATTTTTATATTCAAATGGTAGAAGACTTAAAACTTCAATTAATTTAAATCAGATGAATTTATTTACAATTCAAGTATCGTGTCGGTTATAAAATGTTAATGCATTTCAGAGTCATTGTACTGTTAAACAAATGAGACAATTTTAATAATTACAGAAATCTGTTTATAGATATTAAAACAATGTAATAATAATAATAAAATATTTAGAATTATTCATTTCGATAATTACAAAGGCAACAGTAATAAGATGTCAAAATAATTCCTTAAAAATCTATTCTGAAGACAAATTTCGAATGCAGTATAAATTTTCTAAATATGGATTTGTTCATATTTTAAACTATATTGGCGACAAAATTAAATATTGAAATGGAAAAGGATTGTCATTAATTGTCAAACAACGGTTTTGACGGCCTTAAGATTTTATTTCTGGAAGCTTTCGGAATATAGATGGCAACACAAACAAATAACCCGATTGGCCGAACGACTCCTAAAACAGGAGAGTAATAGTGAAGTAAGGAAGAGCCAATGTTTTGCTGAAGTTCATTTAGAGAACGGTCAGAAATAGACAATCATCATCTTTGCAACATATTTTAAACTGCAGTTCAGCCAGCCAACGTCTATAGGTCATTCTGTTGATAAACGTCGTTTAACGTAAACTCTGTCTCTGCAATTGGCTGTTAAAGATGAATCTTCAGGAATTTTAATGTATTTCTACTTTGTGCAAATTCTCAAATGTAACACCAGGTAAATCTCACTCACTGATTTCATTAAACAAAGATAGATATCCTTGCTTAAATCTTAAGAAAAAAATGTTAAATTAATACAAATTTTTGAAAAGTTGGAAAAACTGTATGTAATACTGTAATATAAACTATCCTAAGAATGTGCATTACCCCAGTGTTGCTCAAATTTCACCTTTTCTTAATAAATAAAAACTTTTGGAATACTCCTAAAGCAGAATTAAATTATTATTATTATTATTATATTTTTAAGTGTTTCTAAAATGATGGCTTTAAGATTTACAAATTTTAATTTAAATGATTCTATATTTTTTAATTTAAAATTTATTGAGTGTTTTAATAAAGGTAAATATTAAAAATAGTATTTTTCTTTTTTTTTCCATGACATAATATGCTTCTTCAGAGAACTCAAAAACATTTGTGAATTCCAAGGATCCATCAATCAGAGTTTATAAAATAATTACTCACAGTAATACTCAAATAATCTTAGGTACCTAGGTACAAAAATTTCTATAGTGTTCAATACTACTCTTGAATCTGTTTTCTGAGTATTTTAATTTTATTACTGATAGAAATAAGTCTGATAAATAAAATTATAATTTGATAATCATCAAATAATTAATTTCACTTACCACTAAATAACTGTTTCGTTTCCTTTTGAAGATTTGAAACAGCAATACGAGTAGCAAGAGTTGAATAATCAATATGAATACTTGCCATACTAATTGCAGTTTCTGCTGCTAAATTGTCTAGTTCAACTGTTGTTATACCAGGATATAATCCACTTATAACTTTCATTGTAATTGCTGGCTATAATTATAATTTCAAACTTTTATATTATGATTTTAAAAATACTTCAAATAACAACTAATTAGTGAAATAACTCTATATATAATATTTTTCAAAATTTAGTTTTCCATTTAAAATCTATTATATTTTTTCACATTTATTATTTATGAACTTCTGTATTAGAGAAAAATATATATCAATAATTTCATGAGACATTTTACAACTACACCAACAAATTCAGATAGATTACATTCATGATATAGACACATAAGGTTACTTAATAAATTATTAAATGACATTATTTGGTTTAAAATCAGATGAAGATCCAAGTAACTTAACTGGTAATGCATCTGTGTGGTAATGGCAAATGTTATATTGTTTAAAGCCCTTTCTTAGTTGATCTTTTATTCCAAAATCTTCAAAATTGTTTAATCACTCATTAATGATTATCATCAAAACTTTATCACTATCAGTTCAGATTTTTCCCCACAGAAAGACAACAATGAAAAGCATTTGGTATATAGAATTATCATATAAGTACTATGAGATTTTTTAATAAAAATATTTAAAATATTGTCTTACTTTTTAAAATTAAATTACATTTCAATATTATTTGATCATTAATTTGCTTTTAATTTCATACTTACTGGATCAATAAAGTTTCTATCTAATCCCCAGCAAAGTTTTTGGATTCTAGAACTAATTTTATCAAACAAAACAGTTTCTCTACGCCCATCTGTAAATATTCTTAGGTAGGAATCATTTTACACTACATTAAATAATTATTTAATAATATGAAGATGTTACAATTTAACATATAGGATTATTCAAAAGTAATGCATAAAGAATGCTTTCATGTACAGCATGGAAGCATATGTACCATAACAGGCACTGTCAGAGGAACATGTAATCATTAAATAATTAACTGTACAGATGATTTACACTGTAAATTATGTTTTCCCTACAATGCACTATATGATACATAAATGCTATGCATGGAAGCATCTTCTGATGTGTTACTTTTGAAAAATCCTGTATAACAATCATCATTTACATTATAAAATTTACAGTTTATCTTTGTGAAGAGAATCAAAATTTTGTTTTAGACTGAGAAAATTAAAATTTTTCAAAAGCATAAAATACAAAATAAAAAAATATCATAAAAATTAAAACATAGATTTTAGAAGTGCAAAAATATCACCTGGAAACTGCAAGAAATATNGATATTTATATCAATTAGACCATATCAGTTGTGGAAGTATATAGCTTGTTAGGTTACCAGATGTTAAAGTTAAAAAATATTATTACAGTATTTTGTTTCAAGGGATTAAAGGGAAGGTTTGTACTTTTTGGAAGCAAAAGCTTAAAATAAGTGCATAGAGGAAATTTGTGATAAATATTTTAAAATGTGGTCAGAATAATTTTGAATACTATCATTCCCATTTGTATTATTAGCTTCTGTTTAAACAAGATTCTTAGCAGAGGAGCTTTGAATAAACACCAATTAGAAAATAATAATGAGTATCTATATTTAACTTATAATTTTGTGCATACATAAGTTATTTCTCAACGTTTTCTTACAAAAGATACCTGGATATCCCATTGTCATATGTAAACAAGGGGAAAAATGTATGTATTACTAGTATAAATCTTATAATTTCTAAAATTATTTATATCTTTTCATTAATTATCTTAAAAGAAAATGTTACAATATTTTTTTATCGAAAATTTTCTCTGAATATTCTCTAGTAGAAAATAACAATTGATGTCATTTGATATGTTGAAATAATCCAAAAGAATCCAAATAAATAGAAAAGACTATGAATGCTCTTGCAAATTAAACAGAATACTCGAAATCAGCAAACATAGTCATAGCTCCTTTAAAGTCATGTAATTTTAAATGTTATATTGATTTTAGAAATAAAGTAAATTCTCCTTAGTGTTAACCTCATGAAACCTTATGCAATAATATATTTATACAACAAAAGTTAATTATAGTAAGATTTATACTGATTAAGTTAATTGGGAGTAACAAGAATAGAGATCAAGACAGTATTGAAAATTGATTTCTTAATTCCAGCAGAGAATGCAGCAAAATATCTGACAAGATGAATGTGCGAATTCATCAATTCTGTTGTAATTGTTGGCATTAATTAATCAAAATCATCATTAAAAAAATCATTATCATTAAAATCAGTAATATCATTAAAAAAATCTTAACATTTTTGTATTTTTAAATATAATGTATGATTTTATTTGTTCTATCAAAGTTCTTCTAAATGAGATTTCCATAATTTTAAAAACAAAAAGAAAACTAGTATAAAATGACATTCCATACTTCCATATAATATGTTTATTGTCAGTTTAAACTTTAAATCATGATATTTTGAATATAAAAATTAATTAAAGTTACTTATTCCAGAGAGCTACGCTGTTTATTATTATTATTTTTCATTATTTATTATCTGAATTAAAATCTTGCTTCAACACAGTGTTGAAGATCACAATGTTTTACAAAAACAAAATTTTGAAACTTATACTTTTAGAAACTACTCCGTTCTGGAATTTTAACTTATGTCTATATCAAATTTCACTACAGTTTGCTGATAATGAATTTAAACTTTGTTAAGTCAGAAAAAAGCACATGCAAACAGACTTTATTAGATAACTGATGACTGAAGAGGATTGCTAAAGCACTCTAAAATTCATATCACACAATAAAGTTGTTGCATCAAGCCATGAGTCAGTTCATGATCTTCCTACAAAAATAAGTAAAAAACTTTAAGTTTCTTTTTATATTTTGTTGGAATGTTATGTTATTAATTCTTGATTACTTTAACTGGAATAGATATTTATGTTATATATTATTGTATCAAATACTATGTATTAGTTTGGAATAAAAAAAAGTTTACAGAAACCATTAAGTAAAGTTTCCTTATTCAGAGTTCACTGCAGAAATATATTTCTGACCTTTGCTGGGATGTCAAAAACTAACAATACTGACAGCTGACGAAAACTCCACTGTATTTCAAGTAACTTAGCTAACTTTATATCATTTGACATTTATAGATACTTGAATTTAAAGTATACCTGTTATGGCATATCAAATGACATCAACAGAATGCTAAAATTTATTGTTAGCATCTTAAAAAAAATACTAAATTTTGCCAATTTAAAGATGTTATTCCCACTTCTGGTTTATGGCTATGGATACCACATTTAAATCCTCAAGAAGTGCTTACTAGTGTACTTTTATATATATCATATCAAATCGATCGGTAATTTGATATATATATTGCAAAACGTAAACAATTTCGAGCTATATAAACACAGAAAGATTATGATTAAATCGTTTCATAATTTCATTTAATATCTAATAAATAAGCACGTAATGATTCAAATACCTCTTTTCACTACATACATCTTGGACTTATTCAATTAATTTAACCAATCGATCAATCAATCAAACATTTACAAATGATAGCAAAACTAATACAAATTTCCCGGCAAATTTTAATAACACCCTCTAGTGTCAAATATACTTACTGGATCAATAAAGTTTCTATCTAATCCCCAGCAAAGTTTTTGGATTCTAGAACTAATTTTATCAAACAAAACAGTTTCTCTACGCCCATCTGTAAATATTCTTAGGTAGGAATCATTTTACACTACATTAAATAATTATTTAATAATANGCATTTACACACACTATAAAAAAATTTATATATATGAAACCATTAAGATTTTTTTCTCTGAACTTCTTGTTCATAGCAATCAATTATCCAATTTAATTACATTTTCGAACAATAAAACAATAAATTTGGTTAAATTGGTTGCCGTAATTTCTTACTGGCCTTTAAAATTGATAATTTGATTTTTAAAAATATTCAAGTAATGGTACAACCACATTGTATACACATCATAAATTTAATATTACATTCTGCTTTATACGTTAAACAATAACTAAAAAGCAAAATTAAAGATTTTAAATTTCTATATGATTATTATCACTTGCAATTCGCATTAAATCATTATTCCAACAATACCAAAACTGGTTTCTATTCAAAATTCTTGGCTAAGATCCAACAATTCTTATAACTTGGAATAATGATACAATCAATTTTTGTAGATGCTTAGTGCCACTCGTATAATGAAGTATTATTTAATTTTGCAAATAAAGAAACCGAATAATTCCAATAATTTCTATGAAAGAACTGAAAGAGAGAAGGTTGTGAGCGGCGATAAACATCTCGTATCGTTCTGACAGATTAGCCTAATTCCAAAACTCATATATATTATATAAATTTTTTAATTTATTTGCATATATTCTTTAATATTTAGCAATAGAATTAGTACCACCTGCATTTATCTGTAGACCTCCTAGAGCTGTATACGTTTACAGTAACAATTTTTCGAATATCTGATACATGCAGCTGTTATCGAAAGATACAACAGAAGAAATTAATTTCGTAACAATGTCGACTGTATTAAAAAAAACTATTCTTGTGTTAATAAAATACATTAAAATTTTATTAGAAACTTAATTTTTTTTACACGTTACTCTCTGTGGAGAGAGCGTAGGACTTTCATCTTTCCTTCCTTTTTTTACTGCCAATTTATATAAAAATTCGAGTCAAATATTAAATTTTTATACTGTAAACTATAAAATTATATAATATAATTTTATCTAGAACAATTGGATGATAATTTAAAGTAATAAAATTCCAAAAAAATCNAGCAGATATAAATGATAGACTCGTCTATCAATTTTATATTTAAAATAATTAAGGTAATCCGATCACAATGACAATACAATGTGGTACGGTTATGTTTTTAAATGAATTTTTGTTTAGAGTTAATATGTAACTTGATTTGCACCTCCATTAATGGACGCACTAAGAAGGTATCTTTTTAGCAAGCCCATTATGGGTTCGACCAGGCCCACGATGGAGCGGCCGGATGATGAGGGAGATGCCCGACATAACCGGATACCTGACATATCAGAAATGGACTACCCCGAAAAATTCCTGGAGTTTTTTTCGACCGCCCTAATCTCTCAGAGCAGTAGAGTATTTTTACAATTTTGGCAATTCGGCCCTCTCTATGAGTTATTTATGCAGTGTGTAGAGAGCTTGTATGAGCCCGGAAGTAGAGCGGTCTGCTTTTCTTCTTTAGTGGGCTTCTTTTACCATTTATTTTTGAACAATCAACAATAAATTTTGAAATTTTTCTTCATATAATTCTTCATTATTTTTGAATTTTGAGATTCGACAATTGATATACAAGTTAGATTTGTAAGATTTCAAATCATAATAAAAATGTAAACATTTCAGCAACGAATTGCGTAATTTTTTCTCACGAAAAACACTAATGAGTGAGACACATTGGTGTAACGTTAAAATTGTGTGTAATCTGTCGCAAGCTTTCATTTTCAAAACTTTTATATTATTATAAAATTGCAAAAAGCTTCATTCTGTGAGCGTAGATAACAGTGGCGTGCCGTCCTTGGAAGCCTCTTCCCTTGTATTTTCTAATATATAAATATACAGTATATTGCGCGATTATTTTCATATTTGAACGTACTTTAAATTACTTAAAATTAATATTTTATTATAACCGCATTATGTATCTTATTACAAATTTCTACATAAAATCTGTAATAAAATACATAATGCGGTATAATAATAATCTGTATCTGTGAAAAACAACAATAAGATCGCTATTGTATATTCGAATCTAAATTCGTGTATGCATATTCCCAATGTATGACTCATCCATTTGATCGAATACAATGCAATACAATTCGTAGAGTACGGTAATTCAGTGCAGGTAAACAGGAACGTAATGAACATAATACAAAAGTAAAATAAAATAAAATAAAGAAAGCCTTCTAGTACTTCAGTTAAGACTATCAAACAGTTTGTCATATGAAAAAATCTGTTTTAATTACATTCTTCTTATTAAAACAGACAATATATTAGCGGGTGATTGTACCGTCTTTCTACTTTGTGGCAATACTTTCTTTACAAAATGCATCTTTCTGTTTCTACGTGACAATTTTTTTGCCGAAAAACTCTGTCAGTAAAGAGTGATTTAAATTATATATTTTTTAAAAATACTTATTAACAAATGAGTCATTAACTAATGATATGAAAAAGTAAAATATGAAGAACATGATGACTCAAAGATATGGGAACGACCTCAGGCCAGTAGCGTGCCGTCATTGGAAGCGGTGGATGCGCCGCTTCCCTTGTATTTTCTAAAAAATAAATACATATTTATTTTAATTATATGAAAATAATCGCACAATGTTTTATTATTACCGCATTATGTATCTTATTACAAATTTCTATACTACATGGGGGAAAAAAATAAGATCGCTATTGTATATTCGAATATTAGTGACGGAGTGGAAGCGCTGTATTGTAAGATTCCAAAAAGCCAGATTTGCGCACTCGCTTTACAGAGCGCCGACCTCACCCGGTTTAGCCGGTGGAACCTACGACCTTGGGTCGATGCTACACATATACCGCATCCAATTCTATCCAGGACCTGTTCTGGGCCGTTAGCCGCCCGCCCGCCCGCTAGATATTTGGCCGATTACGTGAAGAACGAGTAGATTTATAACTTAACCCAACCGATAAAAATTTACTGGTATGTTTTTATGATAGTTCTGTATACTTGACCGGAGTTTTAAAAAATCCATTAAAATATTTGATATTTTTATTCCGCTCTCCGATTTTATATTACTCGCGGATTTCAATGTTAAACCGGTGATATTACGATTTCGTATATCCCATCTTTAAGGGGATGTAGAAAAAAAACGTGTACAATTCTTACAATGTTAAAAAATTAACTGTTACTTTGACAACATCGTTTACAACTAAATTTAATGAATGAGATGCACGAGGTACAGAAAAAGCTCTAGAATTTATTTNACTCTTTATTTTAAAATTTTAATATATATATTTTCAAAACAAATTCATTAAAATTTATCTATTTTTGTATAGAAATAAAATTAATTATCGGTTATAAGAATTATAATTAATAAATTATATTATTTGGATTTTAAAAAAATCTATTAATAGTCTTAAACATTTTTTGGGGTCTTCCCGCCCTGTGGGCACTAAGAAGGTATCTTTTTAGCAAGCCCATTATGAGTTCGACCAGGCCCACGATGGAGCGGCCGGATGATGAGGGAGATGCCCGACATAACCGGATACCTGACATATCAGAAATGGACTACCCCGAAAAATTCCTGGAGTTTTTTTCGACCGCCCTAATCTCTCAGAGCAGTAGAGTATTTTTACAATTTTGGCAATTCGGCCCTCTCTATGAGTTATTTATGCAGTGTGTAGAGAGCTTGTATGAGCCCGGAAGTAGAGCGGTCTGCTTTTCTTCTTTAGTGGGCTTCTTTTACCATTTATTTTTGAACAATCAACAATAAATTTTGAAATTTTTCTTCATATAATTCTTCATTATTTTTGAATTTTGAGATTCGACAATTGATATACAAGTTAGATTTGTAAGATTTCAAATCATAATAAAAATGTAAACATTTCAGCAACGAATTGCGTAATTTTTTCTCACGAAAAACACTAATGAGTGAGACACATTGGTGTAACGTTAAAATTGTGTGTAATCTGTCGCAAGCTTTCATTTTCAAAACTTTTATATTATTATAAAATTGCAAAAAGCTTCATTCTGTGAGCGTAGATAACAGTGGCGTGCCGTCCTTGGAAGCCTCTTCCCTTGTATTTTCTAATATATAAATATACAGTATATTGCGCGATTATTTTCATATTTGAACGTACTTTAAATTACTTAAAATTAATATTTTATTATAACCGCATTATGTATCTTATTACAAATTTTTACATAAAATCTGTAATAAAATACATAATGCGGTATAATAATAATCTGTATCTGTGAAAAACAACAATAAGATCGCTATTGTATATTCGAATCTAAATTCGTGTATGCATATTCCCAATGTATGACTCATCCATTTGATCGAATACAATGCAATACAATTCGTAGAGTACGGTAATTCAGTGCAGGTAAACAGGAACGTAATGAACATAATACAAAAGTAAAATAAAATAAAATAAAGAAAGCCTTCTAGTACTTCAGTTAAGACTATCAAACAGTTTGTCATATGAAAAAATCTGTTTTAATTACATTCTTCTTATTAAAACAGACAATATATTAGCGGGTGATTGTACCGTCTTTCTACTTTGTGGCAATACTTTCTTTACAAAATGCATCTTTCTGTTTCTACGTGACAATTTTTTTGCCGAAAAACTCTGTCAGTAAAGAGTGATTTAAATTATATATTTTTTAAAAATACTTATTAACAAATGAGTCATTAACTAATGATATGAAAAAGTAAAATATGAAGAACATGATGACTCAAAGATATGGGAACGACCTCAGGCCAGTAGCGTGCCGTCATTGGAAGCGGTGGATGCGCCGCTTCCCTTGTATTTTCTAAAAAATAAATACA